TCGACGCGCCCCCCAGCCCCCCTGACTCGCTGTCGGACCGCGACAGCTACTTGAGCGGCTCCCTGAGCTCCGGCAGCCTCAGCGGCTCCGAGTCCCCCAGCTTGGACCCCGGCCGCCGTCTGCCCATCTTCAGCCGCCTCTCCATCTCCGACGACTGAGGCAAGAGGGCGCCAGTGAGGAGGAAGGGATGGCCGGTTCTGGGGTTGTAGGAGGGTGCCCCTCTCCCCCGCCATCTCGCCTGAGCTAGGGGCCGGGGGACACGAGAGTGGGGGGTGGCAAAGGCCACATGCAGACTGCAGGCTGGACCGAGCACTTGGACTCGAACTTGTGTGCCAGGAGGGGCCCCCACCCCTCCCCTTTCGGTTTCCTCTTCTTTTCTATTATTATTATTATTACCAAGTTTCATTCTTGTTGAGAAAAAAAAAAGTCAACGAACTTTTTGTATTGATGAACAAAATATTCACAACTTGGGCAGTTGTGATGCGAATTGAACAAAAAAACCAAACACTTAACCTTTTTTTTTTTAGGTCTCAGAGGAGTTTGGGACTTTAGGGAAAAAAATCAAGCCAGCACCAGCAGCTACCAACCACCATTCCATATCCTCACTTGAAAAGCATTAGTTACAGTCCAGATGTGGGAACTCTTGAAAGAAGTTCCTTACTGTGTTTGTCTCAGACCAGTGTAAACAAACCAGCCAAGCCACCACCTTGTTAAACCTGTAAGCTTTTAAAATTTAATATTTTTGCCAAGAACATGCCTTGATATAGTAGGCTTCATAGGTTCATTTGTTTGTTTGTATTTTAACCAAGTGATGCGTGCCTGGAAAAAAGACCTTTGCATTCCAAAGTTTCATACTGGGTTACTGGTTACATTGCCACCACTTACTTAGTGGATGTTTAATTTAGAACCATTTTGTCTGCTCCCTCTGGAAGCCCTGGGCAGAGCTTAGTTTGTAGTTGTTGGGGAATAACTGCTGAATTTTTAGCTGTTTTGAGTTGATTCGCACCACTGCACCACAACTCAATATGGAAAAACTATTTAACTTATTTATTATCTTGTGAAAAGTATACATTGAAAATTTTGTTCATACTGTATTTATCAGGTATGATGGAAAGCAATAGATATATATTCTTTTATTATGTTAAATTATGATTGCCATTATTAATCGGCAAAATGTGGAGTGTATGTTCTTTTCACAGTAATATATGACTTTTGTAACTTCACATGGTTATTTTATTGTAAATGAGTAAAAAAATCTTAATTTAAGAGATTGTATGTAATATTTATTTCATTAATTTCTTTACTTGTTTACGTAAATTTTGAAAGATTGAATGATTTCCTTACAGAAATCTACATGCTGTGGAAGTAGTTTAAGAGTTTTCTTAGAATGTATAATGGTTGTAGCCCATCCAGCTATAAAGAAAAAGTGACCACATACTTTGCAGACAGGTTTAAATGTGGCATGCTTTTCTCATTCCATCTTTATAAACCAGTAAAAGATGTTTTTGTTTGCTTATTCCACCAGCTCTACTGTGACATATTCTGCGTATACAGACATGTAGCAATAATGGGGGGTAGTCTCACAGTGCCTTTGGAAGGGCCAGAACTAGCCTTAAATCTTCCTCAACCAAATAAGTATTTTGTCTATTAGTGCTTGAGAGAATTTGAATGTAGGATGGGTTCAACTGCACAAAAGGAAAAGATTTTTACCACTTTTTTTTATATAGATAAAGTGAAGAGGCCACCTCTTAGGGCTAAAGTAATAGTATGTTATTACATGAATATGCCTTGTTTGATTACAGAAAATTCCAAAACTTGTACTATTTTTCTTCCCATGTAGAAAGGCAGGAAAAAAACATGTAGAAAGTCTGAAATGCTTTCCTGACAGCAGGTGAATGAGCAGTAGCTTTAGTTTGTATGTACGTAGGTACAGTTTTGGAGCACTATGTATGTGTATGTACTCTGGACTACTTGGACAGAAGTAGGTATTTGAATGTAACAAGACAAGTCAACTTGAGTTGTAATATATTTTGGGGAATCAGTTCACTACAGATTGTGACTGTAAACATTGTACTGTAAATGTTTTGTAGTTTTCCCCCAATAAAATTTTTGGGAAAAAAAGGTATTCACGTGTAAGGTAGCTTTTCTTTTTTTTTTTTTAAATGGGAATATATCTAGCTTCCCATCATTTTGTCAGGCCTGGCCCAGGTCTCAGAGGGGTTGGGGGCTAGGATTTAGAGAGCTAGCAGAGCCTGCCCCTCCATATTTTATATAGTACATTCTTTAGCTGAAAAAGTAATTATTTCGACTGTCAAGGGCATTAGTTAGCTGTTCCTCTTGGTAATAAGATGCATCCCAGTGTTGGCTGGTGGCAAGGCCAGGCTGGGAGGCCTGAAGGGGCGTGGCCTGCCCGTGAGTCATCAAGTGGGTCACGTGTCTGCAGTGGCAGCTGAAGATTTTTTTTTTCTGCTGGGACGCCCACGGAACTAAACTGCTTGTGTGGGGAAAGGAGGGCAGTCTTGCCAGGCTGTGCTAAACTGGAGGTGTGGGGGGTTAGGTCGGGGATTTTCCTGGACTTGGAAAGCCTGGTTGTGTCCTTGTCCAGAGAGGAGGGAAGATGAAAGAGGTTAAACTTATATCTGGGTAATGTTTGTTTATGCGGACAGCTTCCTCTGCGAGTGAGAGCACACGTGTTCCTTATGCAAATGGTTAGTGTCTGAGATGACCCAGTGGCCAGAAAGCAAATTCAACCCAGGTGTCTGGAAAAAGGAAGGAAAAAACCTACCAGTTTTGCTGATTCTCAACATAGTTTAACAAAACCTTAGGTTTTGGGGGGGTGTTTTTTTTTCCCT